CCTCCCCCCATCCCTTGCCCTAAAGGGATTTTTTCCTCCCCCAATCCCTTGCCCTAAAGGCTGACCTATGTTCTCCGCCAATGTTGCCAAGATTACTTTCCATAAATGTGACCTCCCACTTCATGTCTATAAAGGAGAAGAGTCCTTCCCACTCCGATCATATCAACCTATCTTCCCGCCAATGTCAGAATTGTTGGCGTCTTCCACTCTGCCAAACACTTCCACAGCTTAATGCTTCATGTACCCAACCTAATCATGATCGATCTAACTGCTCAGCAGAGTCATGCTTTGACCTTTGATATATCAGCCTGGAACAGTTACCGCTACAAGAGAGGTACTCCAAATCAACTATCAGCCCTTATCTCCTTTAAAAGAGCATCTGCCTGTCTTCGTCGTACAACCTGGAATAGTAAAACAAATAGCTGGCGAAATTGTTTTATCAATTACATCCTCTACATCTATCTCAAATGTATGGCGACGAATCCATAAACTATCAGGCAAACATCCCCCCCCATCCTGCCCCCGTCCTCCATATTCGAGATACCCTCATTTCTGATCCTCTCCAAGTCGCTAATAAACTGGGTGATTATTTCAGCCAGGTCAGTAGTGGCTCTCACCTTTCTCCACACTTCTCTTCTATCAAGACCACCAGAGAACGTACCCCCATTACCTTCACCCCATCCTCCGCTGAGTCCTATAATGCTCCATTTTCTTCCTCTAAACTCATTACTGCCTTACAATCGTGCCGCAACACTCATGAAGGCCCTGACGGTATTCACTACCGTATGCTCCGGCAACTCCCATCTTCCTCCTTATCCTTCCTATTAAAAATTTACAACCACATATGGACATCGGGAAATTTTCCTTCTAATTGGCGAGAAGCTCTTATCCTTCCCTTCCTGAAACCCAATAAATCGGGTACCCTCCCTCAAGACTATCACCCCATCGCACTAACTAGCTGCTTGTGCAAACTATTAGAGCGAATGGTGAACTTCCGCTTACTGTGGTATCTTGAATCTCACAATCTTCTCTCTCCTTCCCAATTCAGGTTTTTCGCCGTGCCAGAAGCACAGCTGACCCCCTTGCTCATTTTGAGACATATATTACATCCGCATTTGCACGCCATGAATCCGTACTAGCTATATTTTTTGATCTAGAAAAAGCATATGATATGACATGGCGGTACCATATTCTCCAACAATTGTCCTCTCTAGGCATATGTGGAAACATGGGTGTCTTCATAAAGTCTTTCCTCTCCCAACGCACTTTTCAGGTCAAAATTGCTTCTGCCACATCATCTTTCTTTCCTCAAATCGAAGGTGTCCCACAAGGCAGTGTACTCAGTACCACTTTATTCCTTCTAGCTGTTAATGATATTGTCTCAGTTTTACCACCAGGAGCCCGGTCATCACTATATGTTGATGATTTAACCATCTATGCATCTGGCACATCCATACCAAATCTCTACCAATTTCTTCAATCTGCAATCTCATCAGTATCTTCCTGGGCCACAAACCATGGCTTCCGCTTTTCTATCTCTAAATCTTTCTCCATCCTTTTCTCTCGCTCACGTGTAAGTCCCCTACCCCCACTCTTCTTATATGGCACTCCACTCCAATGCCGTTCCTCTGGCAAATTCCTAGGCGTCATTTTTGACTCCAAACTGACCTGGCGAGACCATATTCTACACATTAAAGAAAAAGCTCTCCGCCGCCTTCGAATTTTAAAAACTCTATCCCATATATCATGGGGCTCAGATCGCAAAACTCTTCTTCATCTTCATGTTACTTTGATCCTCTCCACTCTTGATTATGGATGCCATATCTACTCCTCTGCCTCAACTTCTCTCCTTGCCCATCTTGACACAATCCATCACTGTGGTCTTCGCTTAGCACTAGGCGCCTTCCGCTCCTCTCCAGTTGAGAGCCTGTATACTGAATCAGGCATACCATCTCTATCTAGACGTCGTGCCCTGCTCTCACTCCGATGTTATGTTCGTTTCCACCAACTTCCCCTCACTAAACTATCCATCCCACAATCCCTACTTCCTACCTTAGCTTCATCTCCACGCTTACCTACTCCTTTCTCCACTCGCATGGATACCCTCCTCTCCCATTCCCCTTTCCCCCATCTCCAACCTCTCCCGTTCTCTGTCCATTCCAGTCCCTCCATGGCTTATACCTCACCCCCATATTTGCTCTTCTGTTTTCCCCGACCCACCAAAATCAAATATTCCTCCTACTGTCCTTCTCATCCATTTCCTTGACCATGTCTCCACCCATTCCTCTAGTATACACGTATATACTGATGGCTCCAAATCCACCTCTGGTGCTGGTTTTGCAGTAATATTCCCAACTCGTACTTTCAAATACTCCCTTCCTCCTGAATCCAGTGTCCTTACTACTGAACTGTATGCACTCCTTTTTGCCCTAAAACACATATACTCACTCTCCTCTTCCTCTTTTACAATTTTTACTGACTCCCGTAGCTCATTAACTCTCATAAAGTCAATACACAGCACCAACCCCCTTGTTTGTAAGATCCAGAACTGGTTGTTCTACCTGTCCACACGCCATAAAACAATCAAATTTTGCTAGGGTGCCCAGCCATGTTGGAATCCCCGGCAATGATCAGGCAGATACACTAGCACGCCACGCTGCTAGGTCCACATCATACCAACCACGCTTCTCACGTATCCCAGCCACGGATTATTACCCACACTTTAAGACCTTCTTGTATAAACGATGGCAATCTTTCTGGTCAAGCCTCCACACTAATAAATTACATTCTGTAAAACTATCAATCTCCTCCTGGTCAGCTCCATTTCATCGGAACAGACGTTGGGAGACTGCTCTCGCCCGCTTACGCATTGGCCACACCCGTCTAACACACTCCTATCTGATGTCACAATCTGATCCACCTCTATGTTCATTATGTAATGTTCCCCTTTCATTCGTACACATCCTATTGTCATGCCCACGTTTTGAAGCAGCCCGTACCTCTGCTTTTCCCCACCTATCCTCCCTTCACCGACCTCCCAACCTATCAGACATCATTACAGAATCCCACACTTTCTGCATCAACAACCTATTCTCTTTCCTCAAACGCATACGTATCCTTTATCTAATCTAACACCCGACCTTAACCCTTTAACTCACCAATTCCTTTGCCCAGCTTAGACAACTAATCACTAACTCAACCACCTTTCACTAACATTAACTATAGTGCTACATGACCTTAGATGTCTAGCACATTTATCTTGCTTTTAACCATTAACCATTAACCATTGACCGTTGATATCGAGCACATTTATTTTATTTTGTAAATAAATTAACCCATTCGCGACGGGCATGTCACGTGTCCGTGCCATGCCCACTGAGAGTTTACTTGTTTAATTGTTTTTAAACACAGATGACTACACTTGTATTAAATCACCAATGAGCCAATTATGATTATGCCTCTCTCGCCCGTTTACCCATTTCTTTAATTTACGAAAATATTTTCTAATCTTATTTTGCTATTAGTAATGTCTATAACATTATATTAATTATAATTATAATAAAAATAACACCATCAGTATTCATAGCACTAGTAAAAAATACATTTTCCCGCTAATTCGAGGAAAGGTGAAATCAGGTAAGACAGAGCCATGTGTAGACATTCCACAAAAAATATAAAAAATGAGCACAGCATTTTCCCCATTTTTTACTCATTTTCCCCGGCGGCAATGGGTTAACCATTAATCCCTACCTTACCCTACGGGCATCCTTGTTTAAACCTTAGCCTATTTACTCACCCTCTCTACACTCGCCCCTTTCAGTGCCATACTATCCTGAACTGCTATCAGACTTTTGACACGTAGCACATTTAATCATGTAACCCCTCTATTTACCCTTCTAAACCTTTCTATATGACCTTTGATGTCAAACACATTTATTTTGATTTGTAACCATTAACCATCCCTCTTTCACAAGGCCCCATTGTCCCACACCTCTACAAACCCTTTGAGTGCTTGGGGTCAATTTTTGTGATCCCCACTACAGCCCCATATTCTGACAACACACTCCTCTTTCAGCAATACCTCTAAAAACAAGTGGGCAAAATATCATTCCACTTTGTCACATTTGCATCCAAATCCCAAGCTAAAGCATTATCTACTCTACCTGACTTCACTGGTAAACCCATTCCTGCAGCTTCATTCCTCCCCCAATACTTCTGCTGGGACTGTCTCCATCTCCCCAGTAGACTTCATCTATGTAGACAGAGAAGAGATTGGTGTCATGGAACCAAAGGAATGAAGATCAGTGGGGCTAGCTGATGGAGGGGCAAACCTCATTTCTGTTCATGACAGGCACATGTTCATCCTTTCATCCTTTCAACACGTCTCTCAAACCATAGGAAGTGGATAGTAAAAGGAGTTGGAGAAGAGAAGGAAAAGGAGAGGGGAAGAAGAGAAGACTGCAAAATTAGTTGAGTTGAAGGCTGAGGCATTTGGCTTCAAGACTGTCTCCTAAGTCCACCCATGGCAACAACCTTTATTGTCTTATATAAAGTCTACTTGATTTTGGATGTCATTTTGTGAAGTCTTCATGTTAAAGTGTTTCAGATTCCTGTCTGTCTGGAGTAACTACTATTACTATGCAACAGTTACTGGATAAGTGAATTTTTTATTTATGCAGGTATGTGATGAAACATGTTTCTAACACAAATGGTAAGACATTATAGGAATCTTAAGCCATTCATATAAATACATAAATGTCTGAAGTAGCAAAGGAATGCATAGGTAGTTTTTACTTTCAAAAGTATATTCTAGTCTCAAAGATTTGATTTATGTAAGAACCTCCCTGATCATTTATGATTCTGTATTGTCCAGTTCATTTTGAATGGAATCTGTAAGACATTTTGTGAATGCATTAAAGGAATTCAGCCTTACTCAGGAAATTACCCCTTTCAGGGAAAGGTTTGATAAACTTTAGGTTACCATTGAAATAAAATGCAAATTACGTACAAAATTTACTGGTAATGTTCCAAAACATATAAACTTTACTGGTAATATTCCAGTACATAACTTACTTTTGGACTTGGTCCAACAATCCTGCTGTCATAGGGAACTTACTAACTTAAATATTAACTTTAAAGAACTGGTCTTCCCATATTATACTGAGACATAGGTTGAGATGTTGTGCTGGTTCCTGGGGGCCCTGTTGGCAGAACACTGACACCTGGTGGTGGAACTGCTGCTCCTTGTGATGTTGGGGCAACATACTGGGATGGTGGTGCTTGTCTGGGCGCCTGAGGGACACTTGTCTTGTTGGCTGGATCCTCCTGTGACTTTACTGTGAGTGTGTGCCTTGGACCAGTTTGCCAAGCATCATCAGAGTCATCAGTTACAGATGTATCTACAGTCACCTGGAAAAAAATAAATAAATAAAAATAAAAATCACACACACACACACAAAAAAGGTGGTAATGCAGTTTATGCTATATGTATAGATAACTTACTTGGTACAGTCCAGGCACAGGAAATCCTAAGAGAAATTGTGCAGCAAAGAAGTCATTATGAGGTTCTGCAGTTTGAGTTAAAGTCTCATTGGGCTCAATCTTTAGGTCCATTGTGTGCTGAGGACGATTTTGGATCACTGAGTTCACAGTTAGTGTGACAGAGCGAACAGATCGGAAAAGTCCAGGTCTTCTGCCATGGCCTATAACCCCCTCTACTTTGACAGCCAATTGTGATGATGTCTGTGGATATTCAAATAATTGGTATGAGTATAAGATTCATGATGTAAAAAAAAATGGTCAAAATAATTATTTTATTCTGTGTTCCATCAACAAAATAATCCTTACAAACCTGGACTGAAATTGGGTCTCCAGGAGTGCGTGGTTGTGGTAAAAGAGCTAAGGTAATAGTGGTTTTCTGGAGAGTTTGGAAGAAGAAGCGAGGATATGGCAGTGGAACACTTGTTAGCACTTGTGAAATTCCCTGAAGGAGCTGGAGATGCTGCTCCCTTACTGGTTTGACTTCACATGACACCTGAGATTGCATGAGGAGAATAAGATATTTGTAGAGTAAATATTAATTACTAATAAACATATATTAAAGCAAAATATAAGTACATTTTCGGGGAACTTTGGACAGAATCGCTGCCATAGCTTCCATTACCTGAGCCAACCTGCGAACCATTGTTGTGGCTTCCTCTAAAACAGTGATGATAGTCTGTGTCTCTACAGTCTCTCCACCACCAAGCTTGCTTGTGATAGTAGTGAGATCTGGCCCAGTATAGTCTTCTGTCAGCTGACCTGCTGAGGGTCTAGTTATGATCTCAATGCCTTGAGCCACAAGTAATGCACCCTGCTGCAGAAGTGCAATGTTGCACAAGGTTTGAGGATCGGCATCAAATACAGACTGCAACAGAAAAATATTATACCCTGAGTGCAAATTCTTGGAATATAGTTGTGTGAAAATGTCTTAATTTTTCAAATATATTAATCAAACTTTTAACTGACATAAATTACCTGATAGAGGGTCCCATACTGTGAAGCCAAACTGTTGAAATCTCTAGCTGATTTTGCAAGCTGCTGTGATACACGACCACACCTAAGCAGGTCATCTCTTGTGGATGTTGCTAAAGAAGCAGCTATGGCTGGAGGAGGGGCAGTGCGCAGGGAGAGGCAGGCATGAAGCAGCTGAGCATGACACATGTATGTTTCAGCTCTAAGCCTTACATACTCCTGACAGAAGGTCATTGGTTGACTGGATGTGCTAGCAGCCTGTGAAGAGGAAAAATAAAATGAAGCCAGCCACGGGTTAAGCACTGAAACAGTCCTTCATATGAAGTTAATTCATAAAGAAGAAAAATAAAATGGAATCAACTATATCATAATTCAAAAATGTATTTTTCCCTTTCTTTACCTTGAGAGCTGATAATGCTCTGTGAAGGTGGGTATTTGCAGCTGTCAGGTTACTAGCCCTGTCTCCTGAAGCCATTGGACTAGCCTCACCACGACTCACTTCACCAAGGGCAGATACCCAAAAATGCTGCTGGTCTGAGCAAACTCTCCAACTTAACACACCATACATACCAGCAGCCAGACTGTGATGACCATACCTATTATAGATGAAAATTGAAGTGAATCTTAACTTAAAATGACAAGAGTCTGAATCCTATAAATGATTTTATGATATCTATTTCATTCTAACTATACTATCTATCTGTTCTTCCTGTACTTTAAATGCAGTAATAATGAAATTATCCAGAAAATGACTACCATTAATGCAATATAACAACAGCAGTCAAAAAAGCAATAGCAACCTTGATGCTTGTCTGGCCATACAGAAAGCTGCCCATAAATGTACACATTTACTAGCTGCCACAACAGCAGCTTCAGCTTGGCTGGACCACACATGGCCATGAAACACTTGCATCACTAATGTTACTAATGTACCCTGTAAAAAAAAACAAAAAAACAAATGAATACCAAAATCAGTATGGAATATTAAAATCATAGTTGATGTAAAAAGTATACAAATTTCAAAAACCTTACAGCAATAATCATGAAATATCCTTGACAAATTCAGACTTCAAGAAATTTCCTCTTGTGCCTACCATAAGTTTGGTTTTGTGTGTATTGAGAGGAGCATCATGAGTGAACTTCTGGATGAGTTTCAAGATTGGAGGAAGGTGTGGGGCCAGTACATCTGCTCGACTTCCTCCAAGTGATGCTAGGGCCTCGCACACCAGCTGGCATCCACACACTGGAATTTATAGATTCTTAACTCTTTGCCAACGGGTGGCATGTACATACATGCCATGGCATGCATGGACTATCTGCTGGTTGGCATGTACATACATGCCATGGTGTGCATGTCCTGTATTCCTGGGGCATGTATAGCCATGCCATGAGTTTTTTCGTTACAATTATGGCAAAATATTATTTTTTTGTCACTGAAAATATGATTAAGTACTGTGCATGTGTATGCGTTTGTGCATGTATGTGTGTGTGTTTGTGTACGTGAGCATACATGTGTGTTTACATGTATGTATGTGTATTTGTGAGTATTGAGGGAGTGGGTGGAGGTTGAGAGTGTGACACAGATGAGCAAAATGGTCAAGTCAAGCAAAGGATCGAGGAAAAAGAGGAAAGGAATGAACGAACGAACGAACGAACGGGGGGGGGGGGGGGGGGGACATGTATTTATAAAAACACTGAACATAAAATCATATCTATAAGGAAGTGATAATGTAAACTTGTTGAAACTACAATTTGTCTTATTTGATAAAAATGCAAAATAAAATAAAACCTACGGTTTCAACTCCATGATACCACACACTGCTTATTTTATTCAGGCTATAGAATGAATAATGATCAACTATGGAGTCTATATACCAACAAAAATATCCTACAGTCTTGATTTATCAGAAAATATAGCAAAAAGAGACCTTAGAAAATAATAATACTGAAAATACAACATAGGTTCTTAGTTTACAAAGAAAAGGCAAGGGATGCTAGTATTGGGCATGAGCTTTCGTGCATGCTAGGGTGACAATATGAGCCCCGGGCAGCAGGGCTCGGGCCACTATGAATACAGCTCGGGAGAGAGGCCTTCTGCATTGGGAAGTCACCCGTCGGCAAAGGGTTAATGTCATTATATATATATTTTTTGTGCATGTCATGCTCAACCAAGCAGAACAGTACATAGAAAATATGACTAAATTCTGTAGATGGTAAAAAGTATCTTTGAATAATTAGACCAAAATGATATAAGGCATTACAGTTAGCAACTGAAAACAATTCATTACTGTATATGATCTTTACCTGAGAGTATGCAGTCGGCCAGTATGTCTGTGAGTGTGCTTGCTAAGTCACACATAATAGTTGGACTTGTTTTTGCCAGCAGCACTGTGCAAACCTGCAAAAATGTGGATTAGCTTCCGTTTTCTGTATATTTCAAGGTTAGGGGAGAAAAGCTTGCTAAATATATAGAAGAAGAAGTGCACTTTTGTGCACTGCTGCTCAATAATTAGTCTTTTGTCTGTTACTATTGATATTATGCCTATTTAAATTCAGTATCACAAATTTCTGTGATATGTTTTAGTGTACTTTAAGCACACAAAAACAGTCTACTTAACAAGGATAAATGTCTATTAATGAAGTGAATTATTCTTTACTTTGTGTGTGTGTGTGTGTAAAACAACAACAACAACAACACTGATCAATATTTTCAATGATTATTCTGCAATTACTTTTGTAGTTTGTATTCGACTGATTATATTTTTTAAGAGGCCTCATTTGTATAAAAAGAGAACAGAAAAAGAAAAACAAACTTTTGGAACTATAGGAAGACAGAGTTGTATTTACAAGATTGGTAAAATGGAAGCATGTTTTGCTATTCCCTAAACAAATATGTATATTTTTTCTAATGAGAAAGGATTTCTCAACATAATAATCTTAAGACTACAAATGTTTATATTTGCTTTACTGATATTAACAATACTGTCAAACCTACCAAGCATGTTCGCAGACCAGCAGGAATAAATTCTTCGGAATTGGCTACATTATTATCGTCAGGTTGCACAGCACACACCACACTTTGAAGGAGACTGAGGGCTGCACAATGTGCCTCCTCACATACCACTCTTGTGTTCTGTTCTTCATGCCTAAGAGAAATGTTCCAACTGTTATTTTACATAGCAGTGTTTACTCTATTACCCTGTGTTACATACATACAGATATTGGTATAAAATTTGTGCAGATACTTATAACTTTATAGTGATACCAAATTCATACTTACATGTATATAGCAATGTTAGTAAAGAGTTGTATGGCTCTGCAAGCCACCTGGATATTGCCATCATAAACACATTCTCTGCATAAATCCACAAGTGAACAGTCTGCAAAAATGATGAAATTGTTTGAAGCATGTGAAAAGATAATTGCATTAAACAATCATAATCAAGCTTATATAAAGACATATACTGTCTCATCCTTACCTGGAGTCAAAGTTATACGTGGTAATGCAGGAGCAGCAGTTAAAGATGCCAAAACAGAGAGAGCTGTTGTTGTCATGGCGGCATTATGCTGTGATGATCTAGTGAACTCGACCAGTATTTCAACATTTTCTGCTGACCATGCATGAGGTGCTGCTTCCGCTAGATAACCCAGTTCTCCCAACACTGCTTGTCGTACTCCGAGGCGAGTTTCCTTCTCAAGATATCCCATCAACAGATCCACCTTCATTTGATTAGAAATGTTCCATAATTAGCATAAAAAAGAACAAATATTCTTATGTAATATTTAGGCATTTCTATAAACCCAAACTGAATTTGTAAGCCTGGTTGACAAAAATAAGGTAAGAAAAGAAAATAATACACATATATTTATATATTTCCATGAACACAATGTGAACGGTTTCATTTAACCCATTCGCGCCGGGTAAAAATGAACAAAAAAATGGGGGAAAATGCTGTGCTCATTTTTTATACTTTTTGTGAAATTTCTCTACACTAGATGGCTCTGCCTTACCTGATTTCATTTGGTGGGAAAATATATTTTTACTAGTACAATGAATATTGATGGTTATTTTTATTATAAACATTATAATTACTATAATGTTAGTAACAGCAAAATAAGATAACGTATAATATTTTTTTAAATTAAAGAAAAGGGTAAGCAGGCGAAACAGGCAGTACAAGTACAAGTGCAGCCATCTATGTGTAAAAACAATTAAACAAGTAAACTCACAGTTTGCCCGTCACATATACGTGACACCCGGCGTGAATGGGTTAAAACTAAAATGCACAAGAAAAATATACACTGCATATCAATATCAAATAATTAAATCATAAACACTAATTCTAATGCTTTTCCTGCTAAAGACAACAAAAAATGGCAAATTCATACCTGCTGGGGAATATCTACAAGAATATGGGCTGCCAGCTGGGTAAGAGTGTGAAGAGTTGTTATCACTACACGCTGTGTCGGGTACTCTTTTAAGAGCTCCAGGCACAAACTTCGTACCTGTGGAAAAGGAATGAATAATAAATAAAGGTGATTACATTTCAGTACCCATACAAAAATTGCTTATTTCATAAAATGGAAGCCATATTACATGACACTAGCATAAGTATAAACAGGCTTGAAGTGAGTTAGATTTGGAAAACCAAAAGAGGTTCATCTACTTACTGCCCCCCACCCCCATAAAAATCTGATCTACACATTCTCAAAGATGCATTTTTCTGTCTAACATGGTAAAATATAACTGCATGTTCTAACTCTTCCCTTCTTGTCATATCTTTCATGCATATTCTGATATTTCTTATAATTATTTCAACGGGAACTTTTCCTTACTGTAGCAGCAGTTTCTGCATCATGATGCATATGCTGAAACACCTGGATAAGCTGGAGCTTTACATCAACAGGTGTTGCAAGACCACCAATCATGTGGGTCAAACGCTCACACATATTCATAGCAAAGGTCCTGTCGAGAAATGTTTCCATTTAGTACTTGATACAATTGTTCCTTCTACTACAAAATCAGCACTTCTGAAATATTACAAACATTGACAACATTATATATATTTAATGTAACTGATTACTAGACTAACAAAATATAGGTTAAGTTTTTTTAAATCCTATCAATTACCCACTTAGACTTTGCAGCATATTTTTCTGCAGCCATTATGGCAGCCTGGAGCTCCACTGATTCCTTAGCATCTAGAGCTTCACGGATCAGATGCTGCACCTGGCGGTTCTCCCC